CTACCCATGGCAGTCAGCACTAGTTGTCTCTAAATGCCCATTTCCCCCTTCTTCCTTAGTAAAGGAACCCCAATTTCTTAGCTGAGCAAACTTCTGTTCTGAGAACAGACCACATGACCCAGCTGTATGACTAAGTTCTGGTCAATAAGGTAAAAGTGGAAACCCACTTAGTCTGATACTTCTTTTTAAAAAGGTAAGGGTGGTCTTAACCAGTTTGGCTCAGTGGATAGAGTGTTGGCCTGCAGACTGAAGGGTCCCAGGTTCGATTCCAGTTGAGGGCAAGTACCTTGGTTGTGGGCATGTCCCCAGTGGGAAGTGTGCAGGAGGCAGCTGATTGACGTTTCTCTCTCACTGATGTTTCTAACTCTATCCCTTTCTGTAAAAATCAATCAGATATATTAAAAAAGAAAAAAGGTGAACTTCCAATTTCCAGTTCTGCATTTAAGGAACTTGAGTTGCCACTCAGTCTCAATCACAAGTTAAAAATCTGAACAGGTAACTCTTCTTGGATTCATAAGAGAGGAGAGGACAATGTGCAAACTGCTGCCCCCAAAACTGGAGACCAGGTCTACAAGAGGAGGGCAGTTGTGGGCAATCAGGTCAGCAGGGAGGGTAGTTAGGGGTGCACTGGGCTTCTAGTCCTATATAATAAAAGGGTAATATGAAAATGGACCCTAATGGCAGGATGACTGCTGGACTAGTCACTATGAGGTGCACTGACCACCTCTTGGTCCCTTTCCCCTTGCTGTCAGGCACCAATCACCCGACAGCGAATGGGGAACCAGGGGTGGGTGGCAGTAGGAATAGGGCCAGCTGCAGGCAGCTGGGGAAGATGGCCTCGATTGCAGGCCAGGCCTAGGGACCATACCCACACATGAATTTTGTGCACCGGGCCTCTAGTATAATGATAAAACTATCAATTCTCTAAGAACATACAATTCTTTTTTTAAATTTTTATTTATTTATTCAATATATTTTATTGATTTTTTACAGAGAGGAAGAGAGAGGGATAAAGAGTTAGAAACATCGATGAGAGAGAAACATTGATCAGCTGCCTCTTGCACACCCCCTACTGGTACATGCCCTTGACCAGAATTAAACCTGGGACCTTTCAGTCCACAGGCCGATGCTCTATCCACTGAGCCAAACTGGTTCGGCATATGACAATTCTTAACGTGAATGCACCTCATAGTGTTAAACTACATGAAGCAAAAACTGATGGAAGTACAAGAAACAGACAGTTGGAGTCTGAACATCTCCCTGTCATAAATGAACAGATCCAGCAGGCTGAAAATCAAGAAAAGCAGAATGCAAGCTATAGGACACCACATTCCAGCATAAAACCATTACACAAAACACCAACAAAAGCAAAATAGCACAACACACATGGACAAAGTTTATTTCTCTGTGAGGCCATAGACCAAAGTGACAGCAGTGGTTACCTGTGAGGAGGCAGGCTCCCGGGACTATGGAAATGGAGACCAGAGGTGCTCAAGGAACTTTCCTTTATTATGTTATTTGGATCTTTTATAATGAGAATATATTCATATCTTATATAATTAAAATTATTTTTTAAAGATGCTATAGACATAAACAAGAGAACAGGTGAATTTGTGGGCAGGTGGAGGAAAAACTAGATAGTTTTTATCTACACTATATACTGACAGTTATTATATTGCCTTGCAAAAAAACTTTTTACAGTCTACTGATTAACATTAATGTTTAACTTATACTTCCCTGCCACTCATAAATGGTTTTAAATGAAAGTACCTATATGTTCACAGGTTAGGTATGTAACAACATATTGTTAATTATGTTTCCTAAATGCAAAGTGAAATATATCCATCTCATGTTTAAATGAGACCTTATGTTTAAACTTGTTCATTCTGTGGGATGAGGAGGAATGAAAATATCCAGCAAACTTATGTGTAAAATTCAATGGACCTTAAGAACAATGGGGTTCCTTCTTAAATTACAGTGAACTGATATAGAAGTTTGCTTGAGGAATTGTAAACATCTTCAGATATTGGTTTACTTACTGAAAAAACTGTATTAAACACCTATTACATTATCAGGAGCTATGGTAGTCCATATAAAATGCACCCTAAACAGCCCTTGTCCTCAAGGAACTCAGCCTAATCTGATGATGGTGGATATATATCCTATCTAATAAAAGAGTAATATTCAAATTGACTTTCACTCCCAAGACACAAGATGGCTGGCAGGGGAGGGCAGTTGTGGAGACCAGGCCAACAAAGGAGGGCAATTAGGGGGGACAAGGCCTGCAGGGGAGTACAGCTGGGGGAGTAGGGGGAATCCAGGCCTGAGAGGAGGGCAGTTGGGGGGGACCAGACATGCAGGGGAGGGTAGTTGGGGGGAACCAGGCCAGCAGGGGAGGGCAGTTGGGGGCAACTGGGCCAACAGGGGAGGGCAGTTAAGAGGTGACTGGGCCAGCAGGGGAGGGCAGTTGGGGGAGACCAGGCCTGCAGGGGAGGGCAGCTGTGGGGGACTAGGCCTGAGGGAGGGCAGTTGTAGGCGATCAAGCCAGCAGGGAGGGCAGTTCAGGCTGAGAAAGGAGCAGGCTCAGGGTAAGAGGGCTTCTGGAAGAAAACTGGGCACTATGGAATATATGGGAGACAAGGCAGTAAAGGTTGGCTGAGGCCAGAGGCAAAAAGGCCATGCTGACCTACTAATTCTGGAGGAAGCCATAGGAAAATTAAAGCAGCGATGTGACAAGACCCGATTCTTATTGTTTGGACGTAACTCTGGTGGCAAAATGGAGGATGAAATGCAGGAGAGATGATGGAGCAGACAGGCTGTGTCCTTAAATGAACAGGATTCAATTTTGGACTAGAAAGGACGTCTTGAGGAGGAGGGCACTGAATCCCGAGCAACCAGAGGAACAATGGGTTCCAGCTGCAGGCAGATTTTATAGGAAGGTTCTTTCCTCTCAAAGCTAGTACCCAGCCAGTGGCCTTAGCATCACCAGTTAATTGTTAGAAATGCAAATCCTCAAGTCCCATCACAGATGTAAGGTGTCTGAAACTCTGAGAGGTGGGGCCAATAACAGTAACTGAACGAGGTCCTTTTAAGTTGAGAACAACTGCTCAGCCTGCCAAAAATCTTGTGGCAAATTGTATAGGCTTAGAAATGTCACAACTTGCTTCCTCTCTTAAAAAGAAAACAAAACAGCTCCAGTTGGCTGGCTCAGGGCTAAACCAGGATCTATGAACCAGGAGGTCAAGGTGTGATCCTGGGTCCCGGCACAAGCCTGGGTTGTGGGCTCATTCCCCCTTGTGGGGGCACAAGAGGCAGCCAATCAATGATTCTTTCTCAGCATTGATGTTTCTCTCTCCCTCTCTGAAATCAACATTTCTTTTTAAAAAGGAAAGAAAACAATAAACATGAGAGCAATAAGGAATGAGTTCCCATGCTGAATCGTCAGAACAAAATCCACCTACAATCTTTCTGGGCATAGATTTTAGATAATGCCCAGAAAAATAACAAACAAACAAAAACCAGATACAGCCAAAACCAGTTTGGCTCAGTGAATAGAGCGTCTGCCTGCGGATTGAAAGGTCCCAGGTTTGATTCCGGTCAAGGGCATGTACCTTGGTTGCGGGCACATCCCTAGTGGTAGGTGTGCAAGAGGCAGCTGATCGGTTTCTCTTTCTTCGATGTTTCTGGCTCTCTATCCCTCTCTGTAAAAAAATCAATAAAACATATTAAAAAACAAAAACAAAAAACAACCCAGATACACACACATACACTGACTATCCAGTCCAAAAGCTTCCCATTTGGAGAATTAACACAGTTTGGGTAGAGGTGGTGATTTTCTCAGTATCTTATATTGAAATACGACCTAAAAAAAAAAAATTAAGTAATCAATCCAGTTTCAAATTCTTTCTGTCCCCTTTACTTCCCACAAAAACACCCTCAGAAAAAAAAGTTAGGATTCCTTCTGGTCGTCTGAAAACTGTGTTTCTGATGCAACCGCCCATTAAAAAAACAAAAACAAAAAACCCCACACAAAACACAATCCCAAATTTAACCCCCCCCCCCAAAAAAAAAAAAAAAACGGGGCAGCGGGGTCGGCGCCATCATCCCAAAACCAGTCGGCCGTTTCCCAGCTACACCCAGCGGACCTCCTCGCCAGCCTCCTTTCCCGGGGCTGTACCCAAAGATAAATAAATCACTCCCTGTTTTTTCCAGACCTGAAATTAGCGGTGACTCAGAGCGCTCGGTACGGCCAAAGTCGCCTCCGGAAGGAGGAAAAAAATGTGCAGATTTTTTTTTTTTTCCCCTTAGACGAAGGCCCAACATGCCGGACTGGGCCAATCAGGGGAGGATGGCGGGAATCGCACCAAAGTAGGTAAAATATGCGAGATGCGTACCCCTCCGCCACCGCCCGCGCCTCCGCCACCCCAGCTCCCGCCGGGCCTCGCGACTCCATCCCCACAGCCCCGCCTCCCCGCCTCGTCCCCCCTCCCAGGCCCCGCCCCGGCGGCGGCGCACACCTGGCCAGGTAGCCACTTCCTTGTAAGGTCAACAGCTTCCCCCCAGTGGGCGGGACGCCATGTGGCCCCGCCCCTTGGTTGGGGATGGAGAAGGGCCGCTGGCCCCGCAGGTGCCAGACCAAGCTCCTCCTCCTCGCCCCTCGCTGGAGAGGACCCATCTCTACTCCCCTCAAACCCGAGCTGGTGAGGTGAGGGGACCCCATTCTCCAGAAGGCGAGGAAGACCTCCTCCCGCGTGCAGTCCCGGAGACCCCCCCTCCCTGGGCGGGGCGTTACCCGGTCTTCTGGTTGCGTGGCAACGGCGGGCAGCGCGTGACGTGCGTGCGCAGTCGCGTTCGGGCCCGCGGCGCGCTCACGCGCCCTCCCCCCTGGTCGGCTCGCGCCCTGAGTCGCCGCCTCGCTGGGTTGCTCGGCCGCGCTGCTGTGAGGACATTCGGCGCCCGCCGACTCCCTGCCCCGCGTCCCTGCGATCGCCTCGGCGAAGATGGTGAGTGGAAGGGAGCGCGAGGAGTGGGCTGACGCGGCGGGGGAGGCGAGGCTCTGGGGCGCCGCGGGGGTCGGGGCTTAGGGGCGAACGCCGAACCCCCGGAGCAGCCCCCCGCTCCGCCCCGAAGGGACCCGCGTCTCCCAGGCGTCTCCCGCGGCGGGAGGGTCGTGGGCGTCTGTCGCCCGCCGACCCGCCGGGCCCCCTGGCACGTCCCGGGGAGGTTGCACGGCCGCTGCGTTGGTCGCAGCTGCGGCTTGGCGGCCGTCCCGGAGCGTCTCCGCCTCGGAGGTTCATCTGCCCCGGCCTCGGTACCACCCGTGGGAGTCGAGTTCTAGAACCCCCGCCTCGGTGGAATCGATTGGGGGTGCGGTTCGCCAGCGCCGGACTGGGGGGGCGTGGGGATCCGGAGCGGCCTTGTTGGGCATGTCTCCCCAAAGGCCGGCACAGACGCGCCGGGGAGGTCTGTCCATCTCGATAAGGAAAATAGAAATAAGGCCTTTTCTTGAACAGCCCTGGAGGGCGCGGTGGCCCCTGCGAGCCGGGCGCTGGCGGGATTGAGAACCGGTGGCCTTGCAGCCGCTTTCGTGGCCGCGCCGGGCCGTCCGCTGCCTGCTGCGCTCTCCCTGCGCCCGTCTAGCTTGGAAGTGTCCGCTTTAACCCTCGCCTGCCCGGCCTCTCCATGGACGCCTGCAAAGTGTCTTTTTACCTGTGAACAGTTTGGCTGTGCTTCAGAACTCAGCATGCAAGGTGTGGGCATGACGCGGGGGGCACGAACAAAAACAAGTGGAAGTCTATATGATAATCTAAACTTCTTAAAAGTCCGTAAAAAATTACCCCAGTCTCTAAAAAGTAAACATGCTCAGAATATGCCAGGTGATGGACACTTTGCTTAAGTTATATATTCCCCCCCCCCCCCCCCCCGTGTCAACTGTAATTCTAGGGTGTGCTGTAAAACAGTATTCTTAAATATTCTCAACTAGGACATTTTGTCATTTTCTGTAGCCCTGCACACGCCATTACCATTTTTGGTCAGTGATTTTGCAGGCAAAGGCTTGCCACACTTTGCTAGAAATATTACAGTTTTTGCATCTGTTTGCGTGGAAGCAAATATATAAATATATATACTACTACATACTAAAAGGCAATATTAACGTAAGGGTTTTGAATTCAGCTCTGACTAAAGTGCTTTGAAACCTGCTTTAGGATCTTCTAATTTGACATTCTGTGTTTTTAAGTTGCTAGACTGCAAACTTTATTTTGTTTGAAAATAGGACCATGCATTTTAACTTTAGTTAAATAGTTAAATTTTAGTTAAAGCTTCACTTCCATATTTTTGTAATTTAAATAAAATAAAGAATCTGTTTTATTTACTGGTTCTTGGGGGAGGAGGAGAAACACAAATCAAGATGGGTGATTCCAAATACATTTCAAATTTCTTGGTGTGGAGAGGTTAAGAAGACTTTATATGGTGACAGAAAAAGATTTGACTAGGTGGTGGCACAAAGTGCAATTTACAGATCTTGTAACAGAAACCCACGCCTGGAACCTATATGTTCATGTTGACCAGTGTCACCCCAATAAATTTAATGAATTTTTTAAAAAAGGAGACCTCATATGCAAAGAAAGTTGATTACTCTTCTCTCTAAGCCTCATGAGAATAGAGCATTTCCCTTCAGTCCAGCTATTATAGAATATTGTGAAGATGGAAAGTTCCTTTATTATCCCAGATTTTAACATTTTACCTCTATCTTTTTTAGATTTGTTGTCTAGATACTGGGTTCTTTTTTTTTTTTTTAAGTTAAATTTTAACTGTTGATGGCTTTGTTCTACATTAACAAAATCACTTCCTGGTACTCACCAAGTATTCCAGAAGCACTTTGGAGTAAAGCAATTTGAAACCAACTCAAAAGATAACCCAGGGCACTTTACCATGAAATTTTATGTTTTCAAAGTTTCACTTTACAGTGCCAATAAAAGGAAAAAAGAAAAAAAAAAAAAGATGCATATCCTCCACATGAACCACATCTACACTTTCCAAACAAAACTTTGCGTGTGTGTGCTGGGTGTGCCAGTTTTCTCATATAAAGATTGAGCACCAGCCCACCCACCAAATTCTTTGGGTTATCTGCTCAGTAGTTCTTGTGTTGGGTATGGATTGAGACATAACATAGACTTTCCTAGCTCCTCTGTAACTGATAGTGTGTTCATTTGCAGTATAGCGGCATTGCTCTCTCTGAAGTAAGAGTGTAGTGTTGCCCCTGAAACAGAGTAAAGGTCTGTATGATAATCTATTCCGTAACTTTATTCTAATCAGAATGCTGCTTTACCATACCAAACTAATTGGCTCAGACTGAATTACAAATGTATGATTAGCAAAAACACTTTTATTTATAACAACCTAGTGGATTAGATTGAGCATGTGTTAATGTGCTTACTTAACATATCAGAAAACTGACTAATGGATTGACTTGTGTGACCTCTTCTGACTCTACATCAAATTTCAAAAATAATTTCAAAATTAATTTAGAAATATTTTAAGCAGAAAACTACATAGAATAACAAGTTCCTTTGTTTAAAAAAAAAAAAAAAAAAAAAAAAAAGGTTCTGCTACCATTACATTTAAGTATGCATCTTCTTAGCCCAGAAATAAGCAACCACTCCAGGGTCAAAGATATAATGTACCAGCCAATTAAGGAAATGATTTCCTTTTTAGGCTGTCGCAATTGGGAGGAAACGTGTCCATCAAGGCCACTCCTAATTCTCACACCCCCCCACCCGGGGTTGGCAAATGATTTCTTTTTTAGGCTATGAGAAACATCTAAAAAAAAAAAAAAAAAAAAAAAAAAAAGGTGGGGCGGGGGATGGGGGTGGGGGGAGAAGCTGAGGCAGGTAAATCAGGGAGTCTTAAGAGCAGAATCCTTTCGTTACTTGTTCCCCAGAACAAAAAATGATGGGAGTGGATTTCATTCTTAACCGGCACTGCTTTCCAAAAGCACAGGGCTCAGGTAAAATTTAACATAGTCACCTGAAATTAATGTGTTTCATTCTCATTGCCATTTCCATACTTTTAGCTATATATGTATGTATCTGCAGTAGTATATGCTATATTGCCTTGATTTGTTTTATATTTATAGTAGAGGCCCAGTGCCTGAAATTTGTGCACTTGGAGGTGGGGGGGGTTCCCTCAGCCTGGCCTGCGCCCTCTCACAGTTCAGAGCCCGGGGGGGATGTCTGACTGGTGGCTTAGTGGGCCTAAGCCATCAGTCGGGCATCCTTAGCATTGCCATGGAGGCAGGAGAGCTCCCACCACTGCTGCTGTGCTCGCCAGCTGTGACCCCGGCTTCTGGCTGAGTGGCGCTCCCCCTGTGGGAGCACACTGATCACCCTGGTGGTCAGCGCGCATCATAGTCGGTCATTCCACCATTTGGTCATTTGCATATTAGCCTTTTATTATGTAGGCTACGCTATAGATGAGGCTCCCTAGAACCATGAGAAATGCAAAAAAATTACTGTTAACTCATTCTCGAATTGCCATCACTTAAAATCAAATTGCCCCCACCCCCTGTGGGGCATGTGCTGCCCCTTGGGGACACTTTTTCTCTCTGAGCTTCATTTCTGAATACGTATGCATATCTCATGGAATTGTAATCTCTTCTCTGCCTACCTCACTGGGTTGTCATGAGCTAATAAATCTACAAATGTTTAATCAAGTAAATGATGTCTAAATGGGAAGGGATTATTTTTAAGCCCATGGGTACCCTAGCAGGTGGCAGGTGTTGATTAGGGGAGGAGAACATGATTGCTTCCTGGGACTGTAGCTGTGGAAGCTTTGCAGACAGTTCTGCAGGCCTCAGAGGGGTGGGCTCTGGCCAGCAGCCCTGCAGTGGTGGTCATTCCTGGAGGTGCTGGCAGGGGTGGGACGTTAGGGGGGTGGCGAGGCCGAAGGGGGAGTAACTCAAACCTTCCTGCTTGGTGTCTTTTTGTACGTGGCTGTTTTGAAGTTGTATCTGCTCAGGGTGGAGCTCCAATCTCCTGGAGTGGGATGGGGTCTGGGCTGGGCCAGGGTGGAGCCAGGCAGGCTAGGAGAGTGGGTTTAGCCATGCCCCCAGCGAGGTTCATCGTGCTTCTACTGTGGAGATGGCGTTGCTGCTGTTGGGGGGGAAAAGGGTCTGATCCTGGAGGGCCACTCAGGCCTGTCTTTACCTGGGTCTGGAGTTGTAGGGAGGAGAGGCGTGCCTAGCCCCAGAGGAATGTGCCCAGCAGTGGCGGGTCACAGGTGTGCTATTGTGGGCACCCCTGGCAGGGATGGTGGGGAAGAGATCAGGAGTTGGAGGTGTGGGCTGCAGCTACCCCGAGGCTGAGTCAGTCTCCCTGTTCCCCTGGGCGTGCGGGGGCTGGGATAGGGTGTCTGTGCAGGGGAATTGGAAGAGCTCCCCGTGGCCGCTTCCTCTTCCTTCTTTGCAGTCTAGGCTCCTGTCAAGCACTCTCCTCAGACTTCTGGAAACTTGGCTCTGGTCTCCTGCCCCCTGCTGTGCACACGCATCTGCCGGTTGGTCTGTCGATATGCAAATTGGTTGTTATTGTAACTCCATTAGGGCCAATTAGCATATTAACTATATAGAGAGATATTTTGATTTTATGATACATATACTTTGTGTATCCTCTTGCAACTTAAAATTAAACTTGGTTAATTTTGGGGGATGGGGAGATTTTTAATTTTAGTTGTGGCTCTGGTTCTTTATTTTAACAGCTGAATACTTTGCATTTTATGACTATACTAGAGGCCTGGTGCACGAAATTCATGCACGTGTCCCTCAGCCTGGCCTGCACCCTCTCCAATCTGGGACCCCTTGAAGGATGTTTTACAGGGATTGGGCCTAAACCAGCAGTCGGACATCCCTTTTGCAACCCAGGACTGTAGGATCCTAACCACTCGCTTGCTTGCCTAATTGTCCCTAACCACTCTGCATGCCTGCCCACTTGTCCCCAGCTGCTCCCTG